AGGAGGAAGCTTTCCATGTTGCTGTCAAGACCACAGTGAAATGTCATAGGATGGGCTTTTTTAGGGGGCCCAACCACATGTCCCCCTCAGTGGTTGCTGCTGGGATTCAGGCTGTCACAGACCTGGGGACAGAGAAATGCAACTTAGGATAAGAAAACATAGCAAGAGAGCTTATTTTTCTTCCTAGATGGAACCATTTTCTCGACTTAGCTCTCCATGGATTATTGTAAGCATTTTGTTCTCCAGAAATCTGAAACTGTTGTGAACATTTGTATGGGTGTTCTCGTTGTTTGCATGGAGATGCAGATTTTTGAGCATCCTGACATTCTGGAAACACACAATACTGAGTCCTTTTGGAGTAAGGTCTGTGTAGCCATGACTGCTGGTACCTCTCTTGAGTTTCATGTAAAAAAAAAAAAAAAAAAAGTAAGCCCGTAACACCAGTATGGTTGTTTCAAGGAAACTGCTGGTGGTTTGATGATTGAATACTGATGGATTAATTTCTAATCAAGGAGCTGATGTATGGTGCAGCCCTTTTGTTGTCTGGAGTAAACCATGCACAGGGACCATGAAAGATCTGGTCTCTTGCTCAGTGTGTAACCCAGTTTCTTACTATTGTGAGCAGCAGCTGGTCCCTCTACATATGAAGAGCCTGCTCCCTTACTGTTCTCACTTCTCTCCCCTAGATGACTTCCCAAAGCCACAAATCATCACTCAGCCGAAGATGACCGTGGCTGTGATGGGCAAGGATATCCGGTTCACGTGCTCAGCAGCCAGCAGCAGCAGCTCCCCGATGACGTTTGCCTGGAAAAAGGACAATGAGTTCTTGGCCAATGCAGACATGGAGAACTTTGCGCACGTCCGTGCACAGGATGGGGAAGTGATGGAGTACACCACCATCCTGCACCTCCGCCGTGTCACTTTTGGGCATGAGGGCCGCTACCAATGTGTCATCACCAACCATTTTGGCTCCACCTACTCGCAGAAGGCCAGGCTCACTGTGAATGGTAGGAGAATGTCTGGTTCTCGTGCAAGACTCCCATGACCACGCTGCCCTGTTACCAACGCAGAGATTACTGAGGCAGGAGACACTTCCTCAGTCACACAGCACCCTGAGTTTGCCCCAAGCAAGAGTTGCATATCAAAGCATAATTCTTTTTGGGTTGGGTGACTTTTTATAGCTCTACTTAAGAGTTAGTTGAAGTTGTGGAGCCAAGCCTTGCATTTTTATTAATCGTCCTCTCTGAACCAAGAAGTGTAGCTTCTAGACTGCAAGCATCCATGGCTCCTGGGGACGCTGCTCTCCTCTGGGCAGATGGCACAGCCAGAAGCCAGCCGGGGGCAAGTCCTTTGCTCTGGAGGCTGTGGGCAGCAGGACTGGCACGAGCCCCTGGCCGACAGCATTGTTGGGGAGGCTGTGCCAGGGTCCTTTCAGTCAGGACCCAGCCTTGCAACCTGTCACGGGCTTTTTCCAAGACAGCCGTATGGGATAGAGGGAAGGGGTAGAGAGCATGAATGGTGGTCGGGGATCATGAGACGTGCTAGCTTTCTGTGCTCTTTCAGACCTCAAACTACAGGAGAGCATTCTTTACACGTTAGCTGTGCTGTCTTGCTTATTTTGAGGGAGTCCTCAGTGTTTCCTTAAGACTCAGACAACCCTTAGACTCTCCACCAAAGTATCTTTGACAACAAATGTAGTACAGTGATTCCTGAGGTGGCTTGATGCTGATCATGGTGTCACCTTTGCTGTTCACGCTGAGTTCTGTGTGGGTGTGCTTGGTAATATGGCTCCCACCTGCCCTGTCCACAGTGGGTGTCTTGGGAGGGATGCGCTTGCAGCGTTTCCTCTGTACTCTGTAATGCCATCTCTGCAGAGCAGGTAGCAGAAGCTGATGAAGACAAGCGAGTGTCCTCCCTATCTGGGGAGCCCCTGTGCTGACTGATCTTCCCGAAAGATGTTCCAGGCAGAGCCTCACCTTGAGGGATTATTGCCAGCCTAGAGTGTGGTGGGAGAGGCTGAGGGCAGTGCTGCTCCTGTGGCAGGGAGAAGCTGGGGTCTGCGTGGAAATGTACTACTCCTGACTCAGAGGTGGCAGTGGTGATCCTGGGCAGATACTCGCACAAAGGGGGGAAGGGGAGGGAGCTGACCCCAGGCTTGTTAGGGAGATGAGTTTTCCAGAAGACCCGACCCTTTGCATCTGCCTGCCCCTTGATCTCACCTTGTGTGTTTTCCAGTGTTGCCATCGTTTACCAAAATACCCTATGACATTGCCATCCGGACTGGCACCATGGCCCGCCTCGAATGTGCTGCGACCGGTCACCCTAACCCCCAGATTGCCTGGCAGAAGGATGGCGGCACTGACTTCCCTGCAGCTCGCGAGCGACGCATGCACGTCATGCCAGATGACGACGTATTCTTTATCACTGACGTGAAAACAGATGACATGGGGGTTTATAGCTGCACTGCCCAGAATGTGGCTGGCTCCATTTCTGCAAATGCCACCCTGACTGTCTTAGGTTTGGCTCCAGATTCACTGTATTTGTGCGAGAGGGGGGGTGACTGAGACTCAATTACTGTAGGCACCCAGAGATCTCACAGGAAGATTTTCCCATTGATCCACGGAGCCCTGGGGTGGGTACCTCCAGAATGGTAACGATTTAATCATGATGTTAGAAGGCCTTCTGCGACTCTTACCATGTGGCAGTTTACTGACAGGTGGGGGTGTCAAAACAAAACAAAGCAAATCTGTAGCAAGTGAGGCCCACAGAATAAATGTGCAATCTGCACTGGTTTCTTGCAGAGACACCATCCTTGGCAGTGCCCTTGGAAGACCGTGTGGTGTCTGTGGGAGAAACGGTAGCTCTGCAGTGCAAGGCAACCGGGAGCCCTGCACCCCGCATCACCTGGTTCAAAGGGGACCATCCCCTCAGCCTCACTGAGCGGCACCACTTCACTCCAGGCAACCAGCTACTCGTCGTTCAGAATGTGGTGGCAGAGGACGCAGGCCGGTACACCTGTGAGATGTCCAACACCCTGGGCACAGAACGAGCTCACAGCCTGCTGAGCATCTTGCCCACCCCCGGCTGCAGGAAGGATGGGACCACCGTGGGCATCTTCACCATCGCTGTGGTGTGCAGCATCGTTCTGACGTCGTTGGTCTGGGTGTGCATCATCTACCACACTAGGAAGAAGAGCGAGGAGTACAGCGTCACCAACACAGGTCTGGCACGGTGGGCACACTGGGTTTGCGGTGACGTGGATGAGGGCAGGTCCAGAGGCTGTGTTGGGAATCTCGGTCTGTTCAGAACCCTGGTAACCTCTGGGAATAGAGCGCTTCTGGAGGGCCGAGGCTTTCGGCCCATGGCCACCACTTAACTTTCTGGGAGAACACTCGTACAAGTGCCTGGTGAGCTCTACAGCTTAAGCCTCATGGTAATTCAGAGGCGTCATCGGCCCGCGCATGTTGACACATGGTGATTGTTTATGAAACCTCACAGTGGTGTGCTTTTGTTAGGTTCCTCTCCCTTCCCATCTTTTGTGGACTCCGATGTATGTCTGTCACACTTTGTACCTCTGGGGGTGAAGGAAGGCTAAGAGGGCCTTGGTGGTCATTGTTGGGGCGATCCTGGTGCTGGGCCTGACAGTGAGTATGTGCTTGCAACCCTGTTGTTTCACTGTTTTATCTCCTTGCAGATGAAACCATTGTGCCACCAGACGTACCAAGCTACCTCTCTTCTCAGGGGACTCTTTCTGACCGACAGGAAACTGTGGTCAGGACTGAGGGTGGCCATCAGGCCAACGGGCACATCGAGAGCAATGGTAAGGCCTCAAGGACCGTAATGCGGAGGCCTGTGTGTGTGTGGCCCCTGGTCCTGGACTTGGCCTCCAGCTCCTCTACAGGGAGGGGATGGCATTAGAGGGGCATGTGTGGTGAGCTAGAAGGCTGTGTGGCCGATGGAGAACACGGACTGTGCAAGTTCTGGGAAGGTTTTAACATCCAATCCCCCAGGAAGTCAGTCTTAGGCATATCAGTAATTCTGCCATCAAGATAAGATATGATGGCTGAGAGTAACAACTGCAAAGGACAGTCCAGCCACCTATTGTTTTTATAGGGAGGCTTTCGTGTCCACGGGTTCAACCACCCGCAGATTGAAAATGTTCAGGAAAAAACTGTGCTGAGTATGTACACATTCATCTTGTTATTTCCTGCACAGCATAACTATTTACATAGCATTCCACCGTGTTCGGTGTTACTAGTGGATTTAAAGTACAAAGAAGATGTGCTTAGGCTATAGTGCATCATTTTATATAAGGGACCTGAGCACCTTTGGATTTTGGTGTCCATGTGGGACTTCGAAACCAAAGCCCTGTGACCGAGGGATTACAATAGAGCGCGAGCGCCTGGGTCTGCTCTGGGTTCAATTCTCATAGGAAAAAGATCTCAGGAGGCTGAGCCACCTCAGCTGGCGTGGGACTCAGCAGCTATCTGGGGCCGTAGAGCTCTGTCCTCCTGTCCATTTAACTAGGCTCTGAATGCTGGGAGGCCTGCCTGCTGGCCAAGTGGTCTTACAAAATACGCTGTGTGCTGGACCTCTGGATAGGCAGCGTAGTCTGCTGCGCTAAAGCAAATTTGTAAGAGTAAGCTGTTGTAGCCTTGCCCGGTCTGCTCAAGAGGCTGAGCTGTACCGAGCGCAGTTTCTAACTGGGCGGCTCCTTTGCAGGTGTGTGTCTGAGAGACGCAAGCCTCTTTCCAGAAGTTGATGTGCGCGGTGTTGCATGTAGGCAGCCCAAACTCTGCATTGGATGTAACAGAGAGCCCTGGAAAGTGACGGAGAAAACCGCCAGGACAACTGGTCCACACAAGATGGGTAGGAGATGCTTTCACAGGAAAAGTAGTTTCTTTTTGAAATCAAAATGTGGGTTGAGTCACCAAATGAGACTTACTACTGGTCTCATACTGTCTGCTGGTATTCACTATACAGACAGGAAGCTCTGGCCTGGCTCACTTTTAGCTAAGCTTATGGTGTGGGAACATGAGTTTCCTTCTTTCATAGTAAGGTTTTTCTGTGGAGTCGGGACTGAAACCTAGGGCCTCACATACATGCGTCAAGAGCTCTGTCAGCAAGCCATGACAGCCCCAACCCTCAGCATGAATTTCCTAAAGTTACAAGCAACTTAATGTGCAAGGGCAAAGACGACAGTTTGCCCTTTTCACTAGTGCTCTTTTGAGGTTAAATTTCTAATTGTTGAGAAGACTTTTAACCCAGCATGGTACCTGATTCAGAATAAGTTTTTTCTCCCCTACAATTGCAATAGTATGAGTACATTCAGAGTACAAAATTAATTTAACCTGGAGCATTTCAGCACAAATGACCACATTCTTCACTAAGGGCTTGCTGTTTGCCCAGCCTCTTCTTGGATTACACAGGGAATGTAAACAGGACTCCTGCCTTCGGTAGTGGGGGATGGGGAGAGAGGCAGCAGCTAGCCTGTTGTGGGATGGTTCTGATCCAGCTTTACTTCTGTCCTTCAGAACACAGTGGCCCTGCTATCTGCAGTGACTGCAACACTGATGTGGACAGTTACTCCAAGGAGCAAGCGTTCCATCCTCAGCCTATGTCTAGAGACAGTGCACAACCAAGTACATTAAGTGGCCAGGAGCCCAAACAGAGTGATGGAGAACTTTCTTCCCCTCATCCTGGGAGTGGGACTGCTGATGGCTCTCATGCTGACTGCAGGCAGTCCCTCTACCCCAGTAACCATGACAGAATGCTGCCCTCCTTGAAGAAGCAGCCAGTGCCATCCCTGGACGGAAAAGGTAACTTTCTGAGGAGTCTCTAGCGGGTGGTTTGGGAGCCACTTAAATGGTCAGGTCAGAGGGTCTGATGAGCTGTCTTTGCTTATAGGGGATTCTTCTTGGACTTTAGCAAGGCTGTATGAACCAGACTCCACAGACCTACAGCCTTCATCTGTGTTAACTTCAGGCAACCCGGAGCTCACAGATGCCTCCTTGGGCTTTCTTGCTGTCCCCAGTGAAGCCCAGCACTTGCTTGTTTCCAATGGCCACCTCCCCAAGGTCTGTGACTCCAGTCCTGAGTCCACGCCACTGACAGGACAGTTCCCTGGCACACGGAGGGGACCATTGCTATTGGCACCGAAAAGCTAGGCTTCGTCTACCTCAGCTCTTGTCATAGTAGTCTGTACAGGAAAGAGGTAGGAGAGGCTGTGAGGAAGCTTGGGTTCAAGCGTCACTGATGTGTACATAGTTTTAACTTCCATGTGGAGTGTCAGTTGGTCACAGGACATGTGTCTGCAGCACAGAAATGCAAGAGGCTATTTGTGTACAAAAGGCAGAGTATTTGATACCATTGTACATAAGAGTTTTCAGAGATTTCATATATATTATATATCTTTTACAGAGGCTATTTTAATCTTTAGTGCATGGTTAACAAAAGAATTATACAATTTTGACAATATTATTTTTCATATCAGGTTGCTAATTTTGACTGACAGGGGGTTGGGAAATAGTTCTGGTGCCTTAATGCATGGCTGAAATTTAGAGAGGTGAAAACAGCATTTGTTGGCTGGTGTTTCTGGTGGGTTGAGAAGTCTGTGCACTTTGTGATCAGATTCCAAGTGCATTGCAGGACTCTGCAGGCGCAACCTCCATGCAGCGCACAAGGTGTGCGTTTCATCTGTCCTGGCAGTGAGGGATGGCTCCTTGTAAGTTTAAGTTCGTTCTTCAGGGAGGAGAATGAAAGTTGATAATCCACCACAAGCAGTGGGTAGAACAACTAAGTACTGCCTTTCTCCCGTCTTTGGAGCTTGTTTTATGATAAAAGCAGATTTAGTCGTCAGTGGCGTTGGATCGAGGCTTTTTATTAAGGCTGCTCATGTTGGTACCTGTGGATTTACCAATAGTGATGTTTTAATTCTGCCAGTAAAGCATTACATCGGGGACAATAAAGACAAAGTTCTCACTCTTCAGGGCTACCTTACTTCTACCGAGGAGCAGGACTGTCCCCACCAGTCCCTCACACAAACGGAACTGGGCACGGACCATACAAGATTTAGCCCTAGACCTGGGGGATATTTGCACTTTTGAGACCTGGAGCTAACCATCTTGTGAGTGCCAATGTGTAAATCACTAAAAATTACATTGAACCAAGGTCCTTAAAATGTCAAAAAGCAGATTCCTTTAGGCCAAAAGCTGAAGGGAGGTATTGACAAAATGGTTACCTATGTCAAGTTTTACTGTCAGAGCTTGTCACTGTTCCAAAAGGTAAGCACATTTAAAATTTTGTTCTCAATGTTACTTTACTTCCACAAAATATGTGAATTTGCTGCTTCTGAGAGGCAATGTGAAAAAAGGAAGTATTACTTTTATGTACAAAGTTATTTATTTATAGAAATTTTGGTACATTGTACATGGAAAAAACATGTAAAATATTGAAGTGTCTTTAATAAACGTTCATTTATAAATGTTAAGTGTATGGCTGGTGTCATTCTTGTATATACATGACCAACACTTTTTTAAGGATTCCCTTAAAAAATAAATGTGGTCATTCTGCTTTTAGTAATGTTTTCCCAAATGGGGAAAAGAAAACCGAATCATACACTAGTGCCCCAACACTGCCGGGGTCCTGAGCATTCTGAGTTTCAGCATCTGATTTAGTCAAGCCGAGTTCCCCAAAGGGTGCTGTCTCTCACCTAGCACATGGGTTGCTGGACACGGCTCTAATTATGTGTTTTTATAGGCAAAATCTGAGGGTGAGCACGTAGCTGGGCTACCAGAAAGAATGCATGCTCCAGCGTGTCCCTAATAAACAAAGCTACAATCTTACACAATAGGCATTGACACAAGGACAAACCTCCACAGAGACCATTTCTGCCCCAAGTCATCTTCCTTTTCCCAATTCAGCCTTCTGGCAAATCCATCACGTGGCAGGAAGGGAAGGCTGCCTTTCTGATCGAAGGACTGCTCTGAAGGCCCCAGCACGGCCAAGCTCGTTCATTGAGGGGCCTCAGAGACAGTTCAGAGTGCCACCACTACTGATACCTTCCAGCCAGTCTACACTGCGGAGGACCCAGTGTCATGATAAAGCAGCTGCTCACCAGAAGGCAGAGTCCACACAACAGCCTCCTCCTTCAAGGAAGCACATGTGCAGTCGCTCCACATCAGAGGCTCTTTCTGCCCACTTCTAACAGCAGGCTGTAGGTTTGGTCGTAAGCACCCAGAAAGATGAACCCTCCCAGGCTGATGGCTGCCATTCGTGGGAAGACACCTGCAAACAATCTAGGGAAAAGAAAGACTTTTTAAAAAATGTGCATAAAAACTGCCCACAGCTCACTCAGCACACCATGCTCATGAAGTGACCCATGGCACCTAAAACTGCTTTCCTCCGTGTAGCACACTAAGTTCCATGCCTAAGTAGGCATGCAGAAGCTGGGGCCCAGCTGAACACCACATAGTCTACCTGTGAACACTCACTGCTACAACAGTAACAACTGACCCCAGCAGTGCTAGGTCTTGAGAGGTGACCAAATCAACTTTTTACAGGACACAAAGGAAAGGCTGGAGGGGCTCTTCTCAATGAGACTGAAGGGGTCTCTGAGGCACAGACCAGAGAGGAGAAGCAGGTTTTTAGACAACTCTGCTACTCCTCTGGTGACTTGGTCACATTTTGTCCTCGGAGAGACACAACTATGACCCCACAAAAAGGAATCAAGTCTCCATAGACTAATTTTCTTGGCCAGTCTGTTTATGGACATACAGGCACACGGCTGTGGCAGGGAGGAAGCAGCACCTCTGCAGGAGTCTAGTCCCAGGCACTACAGGTGCCACTGAATAATCCAAAACAAAGTACGATGGCACGGAGAGTGGACATGGGATTTATTCTTTAGAGCTGCTGATAGTTATGCACAGGTAGTTCTTTAAAGATGTTTTTTATAACATCATATTAAGAATCTGCAAATGACTCTTGCCTGGTCACCCAAGTCATAGCACAAGGCCAACCAGCTGAAAAGGATGAACCAGGACACAGATCCAATCATAAAAATGTACAACACAGGTCTTACAAAAAGCAATTCTATAGGGTCACAATTCTGGAGAACATGGAAGGGAGATGTCCTAGGGATGCAAATGACAGCCCTGCCCGTATTTCTATCATGTTCACAGGAGAGTTTCCATATGCACAGAGTTACAAAATCAGAACTAGAGGGTGGACTTCAGATCTAGGGCAGAAAACTGAAAATGCCGTACATGTCAGCAATAGCATCTTGTGGAGACTCAGACAAACCTCCATGCTGAGCTAGGTGGTGGCTGAGTGAGAAAGCTGCCAGGAAGGAACTCCTGCTGGATCCTTGCGGCCCTTGGCTATGTGGTTCCGAAAGGTGAGGGAGGACAGGCCAACCAACCTCCCACTGAAGCCACTCGTGTTGACACCTGAGGAAAGTAAGGGGCCTTACCACATGCTGCAGGGCCCTTTTAGTTAGCTAGCTCAAGACTTAACTCATTGTGTAAAACACTTCATATACACTTATGAACCTCGTTCTCTTCTATGGGAATAACTGAAAATTCTACAGAAGACCAAAAGACACTGAAGAAAAAGAGTCATTCACCTCTGCTCCAAACACATTGTTTTTACATGAGGTGGCTGTTGAGGGCAAACACTAATAATTTCTTGCTTTGAGGCCACTGTGTCCTTCTGGCCTGAAAAATGGATTCATTTTCCTGGCCTTGCCCTATACAGGGAAAGTGCGGGGGGAGGGGAAGTGGCTGTGCTGCAGAAGGTGACATCTGCCAGGAAATTCTGCCTCCCTTAACTACTGTACTGATTTCTAAAAGCCAGCATCTTGTTCGGCTTTGGCCACTAGCAAGCTTTGCAGCTCCTGGTGAGAGGCTAGATGACAATGAATCTATTAACATAAATTCAGCTTTAAAGCAAGTTGTACAGGGAGCACCCCAACCAAACACAGAGGCAGACTTGCAGGGAGAACACAGATAGGTTCCAGTCACAACAGATCACAAGACCTCAAATGTACAGTATCTTGCAGAGGATGGCACAAAGCCGGAGCTCAGGCAGGGGCAGTTCTTACATAAACAGCAGTCAAGGAGAACGAATAGTCAGTTGATTAGCAGAAGAGGATGAAAGTGCAGTCCGGGACACGCAGGCCTCCCATCTGCTCTCCAGCCACTGGAAAGGAGGAGCATGGGAGAGCAGTTTGCTCCAGCGCATGCGCCTCAGACACTGCCAGACTTGTAGGAACCCAGAGAGAGCAGCACGTTCACCGCAGGGCAGCGTGAATACTGGTGAGTAGAGGGTGGAGATAGGAGGCAGCCATGGCTTTTCTCCTGGATATGCAACAGAGGAAGCAGCACGCTGAGCCACTTCAGCGCTGAGGATGTCCAGGAACATGACTAGAACAGCTGCCCAGGATTGGATGGGTTTGTGGTTTATTAAGTTTGGTTGGGGGTTTGTTGTTAGTGAGATGGTCTTGCTATCCAACCTTTGCAGCCCAAGAAGATAAGCAAAAATTCCAAATTACCTTTTCAAGGCTACCACTGGAGACAGACAGACAGACTCTTGATTTGTTTTTTTTTGGCAGGGGGAAGAGTGGGAGGCTGGGGCTAGAACTCAGAGCTTTGCACTTGCTAGCCAAGGACTCTACACCTGAGTCATGCGTCCAGCCCTTTTGACCTGTTTTTTAACTCCCCCCCTCTGTCCATGATCCTGGCACTTCTTAGTTTTGTAATATCAAGTATGTGCCACACAACTCGTACGGGGAAGGCTGAATGTCCTCGATCTACACAAGATGATTCTTTCTCTGCCAGTATCTGTGACCATGATGTGGCCCATCGTGCCATCCCCCATCACCAATTTCTCAACCAAGGGAGACAGGCTACAGCTCCACCCCAACTTCACAGAGCCACGGTCAACAGCAGAGGTCTGCCCAACAGCTGCCTTCTGATCTAACATGAACTATCTGGAAAGGCAGTGAAGTATGACAGTATACCTTTATGATATCAAAGGTTACCACATAAACTTCTCTGCCTCTGTGGCTCAATCACAGTTTCATACACCTAAGAATCTTATTCTCTCTGAATATGTGGCTCCAGAGTATTTTTTCTTCACACCACTTCTTTGTTTAATGCAAACTTGTTATCAAAATGAATGGGCCTCAGATACGAGTAACCACATTTTCATTCCTTCACCAAGGTATCAGCCATGAATGGCTCAGCACAGATGCTACCATGCTGCCTTCCATGCTCTGGCTTGGACCCACTAAGTCCATTCTTGCTTCGCCCCATTCCTTGTCTCAATCCATCAGAGTTGCTAATCAACAAAATCACCCAAATTTACCTACTTTTCACACTTTCAGCTGGAAATCTAAATCAAGCGCAGGGCTGCTCTCCAGACAAAGCCCTGAATAGGGCCTGACATCCCTGCTTTGCATTCCCCAGACTGTCAGCTAGCTGAAACTACAACTGTCCAGATCACGCAGAGCTGCAATCAGGGATGAGGGGCCACAGCACACCAGCTCACCCCTCCCTCTCCAAGCAGACTGCTGCTTTGTCCTGCAGCAGTGTCCCCGGCAGAGCATCCAAGGCAATCCAGTTCCACTTACTTAACAACCCAGCTCACCATAGTTTTCTGAGTCTGAACTGTAAAAGCAATGTTGGAATAACATCTTGAAGAGAGCTGTTTAGGACATGAAGCTAGAAATTTGAGCCACTTACCCAATAGTATGGAACAGTACCTTGTATTATTAATATATAAGAATTCAAAAATAAAATTAAAAAGATAATGCACAGTTGAGGTGTGCTCTGGAACATTCAGTGTACAGTTATGCGCTGCACAGAAATGTTTTTGCAAAAGACAGACTGCATGTGCCATGATGGGCCCTAAAATTATAATGAAACTGAGATTCCTTCCACCCACTTATTTTTACTGATCCTTTTCTATGTTTATATATGTTTACAGACACAATTGTTTCCTTCTTACAACTGCCTACAACAGTCGGCACAGGGACCTGCTGTACAGGTTTGCAGCCAGGGAGCCCTTGGTATGCAGTAGACAGTACCGCTGAAGTTTGTGTAAGCACACTCTGCCATGTTTGCACAATGACAAAAAAGCCTATTGATGCAGGGCCTATCCACATCACAGGGCAATGCATGGCTGCCTTTGTTGCTGACAATAGTGCAACTGGTAGCTTGCGTCTTCCATGGTATAGCCCAGACACAGCAAGGACATGAATGCCAGCCAACATTAAGATGAACAGGCCGAGACACGTGGCTAGAACACTCATCAATCAGGTTGTGCTGAATTTTAATTCACATATGCAGCATCACACAGAACATTTTGTATACTCTAAATATAGAGACCCCAACCAGAACAGAAAGCAGAAGGTATTCATCCCATAGCAGGCAGAAGGATTTTAGAGCTGGCGGAGAGGAGGCAAGGCAACTGAGCATTCCCTCTGTCCTTACCCTGCCAGCCCCTGTGACTGCCAGACCCCATGCAGGGCAGAGAGCACGTTCCCACTAGCAGTGCTGGAACCAGCCTGCAGGAAAAGACAAGGGAGAAGTCTGTTACCTTCTGATGTTTACTTATCCTCGGATGCATGGCCTGTGCCACAGGGAAGCTGCTTTTCAGGGCTCACGCAGATTACTGACACGCAACTACTTAAGAGGAGAGTGAAAGCAAGATAGTTGACCTGAGGACAAAGAACAACTACAAATGGTACAAATGAAAACCTTTTCTAAGTAGCTAATAAACACATTTAATAAAAAATACCACGTTTGGGTGCATTCTGGTGGTTCACATCTGTCATCTTAGCTAATTGGGAAGCTGAGATGGGGGAGGATCACAGTTTGAGGTCAGCCTTGACAAGAAGTTTGCAAGTCCCCATATCCACTGGGAAAAAAAAGCTGGATGTCCAGCAATAGTGGGGAGCTTAAAATAGGAAGATCACGGTCCAGTCTGACCTGGGCAAAAAGTAAGACCTTATCTCCACACTAACCAGAGCAAAAAGGACCGGAGCTTTGGCTTAAGCAGTGGAGCGCCTGCCTTGCAAGCCCAAAGACCTATGTTCAACCGCAAAGAAAGAAAAAAACCTAGGTTCAGTTTAAAGCATGGCCTACACCTTAGGCTCAGTCCTGTCTACTGTGCACTAGAGTGCTGCTCACATTTGCTCTGCCTTTCTATAAGGATAGGACTTTAAAAAATTGTTCTGGTCCAGGTATGTTATTTGTATTGGCAGGCCCTGAAATAGATCCAGCTGTTTATATTTTTTTAAACAATTCTTTTTAACAATTTTTTTAAATCTGACAACTGTCTTATCTAGTTAAGGCCAACCATGACCTGACTTCAAATGCTACTTCCTTGGTTGCTGCATAACATGGATTAAGCCAGCCTCCCTGAGCCTTATATTTGTCACCAGGAGAAACAGAGATTTGAAAGTAGTATTAGCAGGCAGAGGCCCTCAGATCTACTTGCTTCCATAATGCAGGTAAGAATGATCTTGAAATGGAAAGTGCCACGCACATACCTCTCAGTGATCACTATGGCTACTGTTCTCTCATTGTCAGTTTTATTAATGGTTCACTTCATACCCTGGCAAGTCCTCATGCTCACAGACACAGCATGTACGTTACACTCTTACCACTCACCTTCGCCAACATAATCCTTGTCTTTGCCACATCCAGAGGCGTGGTGACTGCAGCTGCAAAGCCACCTGTGTGTAAGACCCAAGACAGGGGTGAGATGTTAATATCACACTTGCTGGTAACAACATCATTTTTACTTTATAATCCTAACTCTACCAAAAATCATTTCTCATCATGTCTACCTGCCTCAGGAAGAGGATGTACAAAATTTTCATCCACATACTTCCTTTCTTTCGCAATGAGAGATAAAAGACAATGCTCTACTACTGAAGTAAGAAAACAATCCTACAATCCATCTGGCTCTTTCATGGAACTGGCAAGCTAACCAGAGTGCACTCAGGATGCACGTGAACATGACCAGATACCTCTGCAGTGTGAGAGGCACACAGCTCCCAGGGGCACGCCTTTCTATGGGCCACTCTTCTATAAACTGACTCAAATGCTTCTACAGTCTCTGCTGTGCATAGAGCAAAATGGGCCCAATCATGTATATAATATCAAGATTTTTAGTATAAATGGCTGGACTCTTCAAGTTTAAAAGAGTGAAGCTTTCTGCATTTCTGTAACAGGCCAGTGCTACTACATTTCTAGGCTCTCCTCTGCATTTTCTTTGAATCCCTCTTGTTCAACAGGCATTCTGCTTTTTCACTTCCTTCCTACCTTCTCTCTTATGTTCTCTTTATGTAAATATTATGACAACTAAATTATCCAAAGGTTTTAACAGGGTCCTTTGTTGGCAGAGGAACTGGAAGACTTTTTTGTTGTTAGCATAAACTACAGTTTATGGTGTCAACATTTTATTTAATATGTACCAAGATACATTTTAACCTCCAAGAGGCCCTATATAGAGAAATAATAAACCCTGAAGGTTTTCAGAACATTTGATTCCCAGGAACTGGAGGAGAGAGGCAGTTTCATGAGGGCTGAACAGAACACAAGTATAAAGTCGGCTCCAGAAATAGCTGTCTATCATGACTTATGGACAAGAAAGGCATCTGATCTCTGACAAATACCTTTCTAAATATGTGGTTGAAAGAAGAACATTACAGTGGACCTCCACCATCCGGTCACATTTGCTATAACACTTTCAGAAAAGTATACCCATTTATATGCATTAATGTTCTATTTTTGGTTACCCATGAATGTCAAATACCTTAGGGCTAAAGACTGTCAGTATCTCCTTTGTTTTAGGCCCTTTAGAATTATAACTATGTAAACTGTTCTAATGTTGCCCAAAATTCAGAGACTTGCTTAAACTTCAGGTATTTAAAATTTTTGTGGATCTAGCCATGAAATCCTACTCTTGTAATTTTTTAAAAATACATATTCTGCCTAGAGAAACAAATACACTTTTAAATACAGGGTCCAAGACAGCTTCACACCCATCCAAAACAAAAAACAAACACAGAAACAAAGAAGACAAAAATCCTAAGAAAGGAGGAAAAGGAAAAGGAAATGAAGGCAATGAACACACTATCCCGGCACCCTCTCCAACATATTCCATATTCAGTGGTTTCCCTCCCTAACAGCCAGCTCCAGCAGGGTCTCGTCTGAAAGGTCCCAGTCTATAGTCAGAAGGCTTAGATCTCTGCTCTACCGGATAGGTGACTGATGTGATAAATTACTCTCTAGCTACATTTCTTTACAAGTTACCCACTGCTGCAGGTGGGAAACTAAGCCTCTGGAATCTAACTTGCATAAGATGCAACTCAGTGTCGAGCTGACGCTTGCTCTTATGTCTGACTCCAACACTGCAGCTCTTGGCCAAGGTCTCCTGATGTCTCCGTGTTCTCACATGTGGCATGCAGACCACTATGCAGACTCAGTGTTCAGAATACTGCATGGCTCCAGCAGTGCTACAAGGAATGAACTCATCTGGGTAGGAACTCACCTTCTAAAAGGCAGAGGAAGAAAAGGGTGGAGGCTCATACCCATGCTGTGCTGGCTTCCTAGCTGGCTCTCCAGAAGCTCGCCAGCCTCTATCATCTCATCTCATCTCATCTGCACAAGTGAGACTATTCCCGTTTATAATCATTCTTCCCAGAGACAGTGGGGAACTGGGACTCCAGGTCAAGTGTGTCTTGACCCCAAAAGTTGTATGCTTTCTACAACCTAACGACTTTGATACAAGATAAGACAAATCAAAGTCTGATTGTTAAACCTCATTTTCGTATTTCAGAATGTTCACAAACTATACAAGACCAATTTAAATGGCCTAACAATTGACCAGGAACATTTAATAAATTTGATTACCTGAACTCAAAATTCTTTTGGCCACTGGCAAAGGTTTACTGTTCTTCACTGTGGATACTTGCTAATATTCTCTCAGAGATTTCAGTTTCATGAAAGTCATATGGAGACACGTTAGCTCAAAAACACTTTGATGTGCCCTAATTTTACTGCCATGATAGAAACTGCATTTTGTGTAAGTCATTAATAAATCAATTTGTAGGTCTTCAACTATCAGATTACTTTTGCTCACAGACCTCACAATGTTTTTTGAGAAGACTACAAGGAGGACTTGTGAACATACAGAGTAAGTGGTCGTAACGGGAGAGGGTAGAGAGCCGGATTTCCAGTTAAAATGAACGTATTTTCTACATTTCACTACAGGAATAACTACAAGAACATGCTACCGTATTGGACAGAAGATAACTGCCTAGCATGTGAAGACACTTGCCCCCACTTGGGGTGGGTGTTACCGACAGGCCACTGCTTTCTAAACCATGCCCAGGGAAAACAGGACTATGACCACCTCTCACGCTTCCTTGGGAAACAAAGGCGATTCTGACCCTCTTGGAGACAAAAGGAGCCACCTTCCTACCATAGGCCTGGAGGTGTCACCTGCAAGCAGAAGCTGAGAATGAGATGGGTGAAGCAGTAGGATGCCCAAAGCCCATCATGGGTGCCCTCCTGCATTTGCTGCTTCTCCAGGCTCTTCTCAGCTCTGGTTACTTTGGGAGGAGTAAGTATACCTTCCAGCATCCTCATTCATAATCTCCAAATAAGAGTCCACAGTGTACTTGCCTCTGTGTTAAAGATGGTGCCAGCCTCTGTTACCCAAATAATCCTTCACCCCATTCTAGAATTTCAAGCCCAAGGACAGATAGATCTCTCTCCCCCAGCCCTTCTCTCAGAGAACATAAAGACAAATTTTTTAGGAGAAACTGATTAAAAATACCAGAGCAGCAAATATCACTACAGGAGGAAGCATCATAATTATTCAGACAGCGTTATGGTTTTAGGTTTAGAACTTCATTGGAAGTGAGAAAGTTGACAAAGTTCTTTTTTCCCCTAGTTTAACCCCTGATCAGAAGCCAAGGGAATTTCTGAGCATGACAAGCCATCAACACCTCCAATCTCAAGAGACATTTTTGATTATCTGTGCCAAGAGTTTATGAAACAACCATGGGCAAGGAAGAGAGTTGAGGACGGCAAGAGAGAATGGTCTTGGGAATGAGAAATCTAACTTCTGATTTGAGGGCAATTTAAGCACTGTCTTTATGAGCCATGCAGGAGTAAGGAGTCTGTAAGCACAGTGTACAGGCACCTGAAAGGGAGCCCTGGGGCAGCCATTCCTCGTTTCGCTGGACAACCTCTCCCAGAATACGTCAGCTTCTCACAACATGGATTGCTTTTAAATGATACCTATCCTTCAACAATGTTTTAAAACAGTAACCATGTTTCTCTAGATCAGCATTTGTACCAAATAAAATTTCAAAGGAAAGGGAATAGGAGTAAGAAATTTATCAGGCCCCTGGGACAAGGTCCTTCACTTACCAGAACCTCACCTTAAAAGGGAAGGTAACTATACTTAAAATCTATAAGCTTTTTGGAGAAGTTATTCTATACAGTTATTTTATTAACATTATTATTCTTTCAATGTGATTTAGAGGATGAATTATTATAACAGCTTTTCATTTTCTGGGTTTTGTTTGTTCTTAATGAAAGAGTAACAACTCCATACATCTGTTCAGTTTTACAGATTACAAAGAGCTAACACATACACTATCTCACTTAATACCTGCTGTAATCCCTTTTCATGTAGAGGTAATTGTTTCTTTATTACAGGTAAAACAACTGGCCAAAAAGACTCCTTCCCAAGTTGGATGCAGACCAGAGACTCGCTAACCTTTGACAGCTCAGCCTATGTTACATGTGAGGCTCTGGATACCTCTTGCCCCTGCCCCACACCACAGCATCCTTGGTTGTCTTGGGAGCACAGGACATGTTGCTGCAGCCCTCAGTGAGACACCCAACCGATAGCATTGGGATGGCAGGTTCCCATCATGTAGCATATTGACAGAAACTTTTCCTTCCTTCTCTCCTCTGGCAATGTTGGTGCTTAGTCGGGAATATTCTCCATTAAAGGGAACTGTATGTAAGCAATGCCAATTTCCTAAATACACATCTGCAAGCAAATCTTTGAATTTGCTATTTAAGGAATGTGAATACAGACTACCTACTTATTTCAACACATGCAAGTTTTAAAATGTTGTTAACTTTAAAAAGTGGCTTTCCTTATGAAGAATGACTAAATTTCCATAGTGCTCACTTTGTCCCCAGGGCCCAGGAGGGAGTCAACAAAAACAAAAACACACGTTTCTCTTAGGGGCTGGGAAACAAAGACTGCAGACCTCTGGAAGATAAACAGAGGCCACCTAGTCCTTTAACATAAAGAATAACCATCTGTCTATGGAAACAATTACCCATCAGGATCAAGCTCAAGCTGCGCTGATGTATCTAGAAGCAAAATAATCTTTTTTTTTTTTTTTTTTTTTTGCAGAATTGGGGTTTGAACTCAGGGTCTACACTTTGAGCCACTCCACCAGCCCTTTTTTGTGATGGGTTTTTTCGAGATAGGGTCTCAGGAACTATTTGCCCAAGCTGCTTTGAACCGAGATCCTCCTTATCTCTGCCTCCTGAGTAGCTAGGATTACAGGCATGAGCCACCAGCGCTGGGCTAGAGGCAAGATTCTTATTTTTGCCAGTCATTTTGACAATGCAAATGGGTTTAATTATTAATAAAGAATTCTGTGAAATGTCTGACTTCTGTTTTTCTAATCACAAAAACCCCAGTCCTGTTTGCCATTAAGCAAATTGGAAAAGAAATTATCTCCCAGTAATGTTGACTCCCTAAACCTACCTACCTGTCAATTTGCTGGCTTAGCATCTAAACAATTTATAATTTTCTGGCAAATTTCCACTTTGTTTTATTGTAACTATAATTCTAATTTACTTTTATTTCTAATGACAATCCACATTTCTCTCTTAGGTTTTTCAACATATCACCTATTTTGTTCTTTAAAGCATCTGAGTTCTCCTTAAAACCTCACTGGAAAGTTCTGTGACTTATTATGGATGGCACTAAACTGCTATCAATATTATCACTCTGCTCTTACTTTAAAGCCTCAAACATGCCCAGATGTTTGCATGGCTGTATTTTCCCCTCAGCACAGTTTAGCCTTCGGTAAACTGCTGAGTAGCCTCTGCTCTCACAACACTAGTTAATCTACAGGGCTGTCAGACATGTCACACAGACCGTGAATCATTGCCTTCTGCAGAAACTGCTTACAGCCTGAAGCAGGCTCAGGGCAGACAGCTGCACGGGGTACCATGCACCCACGGCAAGCCCTTGCCACATAGGACTTCATAAATCATCTTTAAGATAATCCAAGGGCCTGAGTGAAGGCTTTAATAAAGATAAAAAGAAAAAGGAAAATTTGTCAAAAACAAATTGCTTGTCTTTCAGGCAGACACCTTTCTAGTGAGTTTTTTTTTTCCCCCCTAAGATGCTTTCTTTTCTCAAATAGCCAGCAAAGCTTTCTTCATCTAAACAATGTGGAATGCCTAAAGTGAATATTTTCACTTTTTCTCCCCACTTCGGTCTTCCCAGTATAATGTAATCCTCTGCACCTGCAAAAGCTCCACAGACCGCTGACTGCCAAGAATCCACGACATGATCCTGCCGCCAGGACCAGAGGGCCTGTGTGGAAGGAGAAAGAAAAATATGCGTTATTAAATCTTTGAATTTATCGGAACCTACTGTGGGTTAGGTCTGGGGATGGGAACTTAAGTGAGAAGCTATTTTGGTGGCATTCTTCAATGATGACATAAGTGACTTTCCCAAGGACTTAACCACATTCTAAAATAAGTCAAAGAAGCAAGGGCAACAGCTACAGTAGAGTGCTCAAAGGAAACAATTTTCAGGAATAGTACAAATATACACAGATTAAAGCAAAGATGATATGCCTTTAAGACAATCAAGTTTATTTTGTGTATTTCCCATATAATTCTAAACAAATAATACTATAATTCACAGGTTAGGACAGAATAGCATGTGCCAAATTCCTTGGTTATTTTTAAAATCCTTACCCACACTGCAGGTTTGAAGGATGCTAGTTAATTTAAAATTTGTCAAGGCACTGTAAGTACTGCTTATGTGTTAAGGTGAGGACCACACAAACTCCATGCTAAGTAGGGTCTGGACAGAGTCATGGCACATAAAATGCTAAGCAGGCCAGGTGAGGCACCGCTCCAATCTCTAGCCATCTGTGCATTCTGCACCTCTTACCCAGGCTTTCTAAGAGCAAAGCCTTAGCTGTACTGAGATCATTGGCATCCAAAGAACACAACTTGATAAGTTTTGATGGATACACACACAAAAAACTATTGCCACAATTAAGGTAGTGAACTCACCTATGACCCCAAAGTTTTGTGTCTTTCCCACCCTCTAAGCAATGTGACTTTTCTGTTACTATGGGTTAGTCTGCCTTTTCTAGAACTTCACATAAATATAATCTCACAATAATTTTTTCATCTGGCTTCTTTTGGAATTATTTTATGTTTCATCTGGGTCATCACAGGTTATCAATACTTCATTCCTTTTTTTATTGGTGACCAATATTGCATTGTGTGGCTGTGTCATAATTTGTTTACTGACCTGTTGGTGGACAGTTCTCCAATTTGGGGCCATTACAAATAAAGCCACACGAACATTTGTAAATAAATCTTTATAGTGATAAATGATTTCATTTTTAGAACACATTGAGGGGATAAGTTTAACTTTTTAAAAATTGCCATACTGGCCTGGTACCTGTGGCTCATGCCTGTGTAATCCTAGCCACTTGGAAGGACCATGGTTCCAGACCAGCCTGGGAAGACCAAAAAAAAATAGATCTCATCTCAAACAAGTATGGTGGCACACACCTGTCATCCCAAGAGATGCAAGAGGCTGTGATAGGAAGGCTCACAGTTCCAGGCCAGACCAGGCAAATAAAAATCTGTGAGACCCAATGTCAACAACAAAAAAACTGGACATGGTGGTACATACCTGTCATACCAGCAATGGCAGGAAACAAAATAGAATCACCGTCCAGGGTCCGTTGGCAAAAAAGTGAGACCACGCCCCACATCTCTAAAGTAACCAGAGCAAAAAGGACTGGAGGTCCTTTTCAGAAATGCTTTAATGTTTGCAAATAAATCTGGGTGCTTTTGTAGAAAACACTATTTTTCCCCAGAGCTCTTATAAGCATTATAGATCGAATAAGAAACAGTAACAGCTTTTTCTTTTAAAGTGGAGAAATGTACATTTTTATCAAGCTAATGCTAGTCTTCTCAGCTTCATTTTTTGTTTTGTTTTTGTTTTTAGTGCTAGGGATTGAGCCTAGAACCTTGTATGTTAACCATGAGCTCTATCACTGAGCTACACCTCCAGCCCCTAAGCTAGGTTTAACACCATTACTCACTTCACATACTTATTTAAAAAGGAATGTAAATGTAAACTAGACTTTCCTTGATGAGTGAAGGTCATCTTCAGTTAATCTTTTGATATCTTCCTAAGAGGAAAAGTTTACTTTGAAGAGACTTAAAATACTAGCAATAATGCTCAGTTTATAAGCAACAGTGAAGAACAAATAACAAGATGTGAATGACATCTCACAGGGAAAGAAATCAAAGATGCTATGTAATTCATAAATTTAGCAGACATTTAATGAGTACCTAGAAGTTGTCAGACATTGCAGCTCCAAGGAAAAAAAAAATCTAAGAGCATCTAGGTCTAACTTGAGGGAAGTACTGTGGGGAAAGAAGCTACAAAAGAGAGGCGATGGACAAGCTTCACAGCTTGCCTGCTGTGTCTAGGAAGTAAAGAGATTTGGATGGTTGGGGGGAGGCACAAAATAGATTCAGATATCTGAAGACAGTTTGAAAATAGAATCTGTACAAAGTCTAACTTTCTACCAGAATTAGACTACACACACACACATAATTTTGTATTAGAAATGGATACAAATAAATATGAAAAACAAACCAAAAATCTTTAAGGAACCAAAAGATTTAAAGTCAAGTGAGACACTTCAGTGGCAAACTTAGATTATGATATAAATAATTAATCTAATAGCAACCACAACACACATTTTGGTAGAACTTAACTGTGTTCTAGATACTAAATACTTTACACACGTTAACTCAGACTCATCACCACAATCTTCTGAAGTATGTATAATTTTGATCATTTTACCACTTCACAGACAAGGAAGTTGGCTCAGAGATGCTAAGTAACTTGCCAATGCTAAGGCGATGAGTTAGCAGAACTGGGGTTTGAGTGGGATGGTGCAGACTACACGCAAAGAAGTGGATTACAGATTCACTTGTGGATTACAGTGGAGCTACAGATTACAGTGGTCCTGATGGCAGCATTTGTGACACTTTACTTCTTCACACAGATCACAGTCTCTACTGGAATATTAAAATAGCCAAGTGAATGGGCTATTAAAATAGCTTAAATAGTAGGAGTCTGAGATGAGTTTTTTAAATGAGAACCTGTTAGGACACAAAGCTGCGGAGAAGTAATGTTGAGACAAATATTACATGAGTGCCATTTACAAATAATTCCAGAGCAACTTTAAATTCATAAAACGCCAAGGACATGTCAGTAAAAAGTACTGTGTATAAGTTAGGAAAATATTCTGAAATTACATATATGCTCATGTATTTGAAGGGGCATGAAGATTGTGCTACACAGAACTGGCTGAAGAGAAAGACTAAATATTGATTATGATACTTAAATAACTTTAGATTGGAAAGTGGAATTAAAATATAGTATTTGCAACAGTATAAATGATTATTACTAACAATATCAGTTAGCATTCACTAAGTATGTATCATGTTACAGGCATGATGCTGAAGATTTTAAATATATTATCTCATTTGATTGTGGAAAGTATTTAAGTGACGATAAGGCATATCTGAGGAGCCAGTGGAAAAAAATATAATTGTGGGAAGTATATAATTATTATTTACAACAGTTGAGGGCAACATGCTAAGAGATGAGCTGGTTTGTTCACCTCCCCACAAAGCCATGTGTCTTATAGACAAACAGAATGGTACATATGCCACCCTACCAGATTACTCACTACTGCACAGTTTAACTTCGAATGTGCAAGTTACTACAGAAAATATTCTCGTGTCAGTACAATTTGCTGAAATAATGTGGGTTTGTAAGAGAGAAGACTTTTTTAAAGATCTGTCTAAATACCAACAAATTTTAAATTGCCATAATTTCTCAATCTAAATAAGTATTTCCATTGCTATTGAGGCCTAATGACCCTTTCTGCCAAGGCAGGCAGATGACTGGGAGAGGCAGATGTGGGGGGCTGGAAGAAGGCTCAATGTGAAGAACCAGTACTGGAGTCTCAACTCATGAGATGGAAGTCACATACCAAAATATAAATAAGCAAAAGTAAAAAATGTAGGGGGGGCATACTTTCCCTGGTGTTTTCTTATTTGTCCAGTTTCATGTCATGCTTCCTTTTCAAATAAAAATAAAAATTTCCCATAAATTTATTGCCATTTGTTTGTATCAATGAGAAATTTCAAGTTTAAATACGAAAACTGGGCATCAGGAATCTCTTAATTCCCCCCATCCCTCCCTCTACTAACTGCTACAGACCTTAACTGAATTTCATCATAACTACTATTTAAAACATATACTCTTCAACCATCTGTTTTTTTAATTAATGACATTTTTAATATTCATCAGGATACTCAATGGCACTACTACAAAAATAATCAGGTCGTTCTAATTTGCTGAATGATTCTTCACTCCTTGATGAAGGCCTATCAGAGGAAGAGCAGCACGAGTCACTCTGGTTCCCCCACTCCAAGGTGGCAGGCCCCAGTCCTAGTATTCACAGGAGAGAGAACAGGCACGGTGCCATGAGACAACTCAAAGAGTCCAAGTCTAGAGCAGGTGTCTTCTACGAAAGTACAGCAGGAAGGGAAGGCTGATTTTTACTTGAGATCCACACAAATGAACACTATTGTCTTAAAAAGACAATGTGTATTTGGTTCCAGTGCAGGAAAATTCGTAATTCAGACTTCATCAGATGATCTATTCAAAAGGACTCACGTGGTTTCCAGTCTCATAAGATTATAAAATTTTACTACATGTTTTTATGGTCATGATGAGAGGTTGTATAAAAAGTCATCTATGTAATTCCAAATGAACTATATCAGATGACCACTTAAGACAACAAAAAATAGTGGTAAGGTTTTCAAACCTAGACTTGCTCTCTGTCTTTTCTGGATAGGTGTCATTACTGACAGTCTATGACCACAGTAAATTTTACAACACATAAATAAAACTTTTTAAAAGAATGCTTATCCAAAACAGTTAAAATGAAGGAGTTAAAGGGCTTGCTCTAACAAGTCCCCATTATCTGGAAGTAAACACAATAACAAGCCTGTTCCTCCAAAGCAACAGAAAAATGTAAAGGAGTCACTTGCTTTCATTACCCTTTCAGAGCTCTCTTAGCTCACCTCTGATTCTACAGGTCAGGGGTCTGTGGACATCAAACTGCTCCATAGTTACTCCATATTGTACAGAACAGTAGCTTTCAGGCCATGCCTTGCCCTGGGTGGCTCCATTTTATAATAGCAGTTTTCTCCATCTTGAGTGCAAATGCTGAGACAGAATGACCCAACATCTTGTTTGTACAAGTGAACAACCATCTGTCAGCACAAACCATGAGGGGGCAGACTGATAACTTATTTATATAAATAAAAGACTACTACCTATGAACTTACCAAATTTAATCAAGAACACATGGACACATGGGTGTATAAAAAGCATAATCAGAAAAACCAGGCCAAGGAAGTTATCAAACACATCAGACCAACAAATGATGCAACCCCCTCATCTGGATCATATAAAACGAAGGACCCCTAAAACTGGGGAAAGGGAGCACACTTACGGTGCATAGGTCATAGATGGGTAGGTGATGAACTCCCAACTCTAATCCCTGGGGCTGTATCTTAGCACTATCCCATTTGACATGACCCACTACAATCACAGTCAGGATCCAGTAAGCTTGGAATCAACTCTGCACCTTGAAGAGGCTGTACATTTTAACACCACTGCACCTGGACAACACTGTGACTGGGATCTTCCAGGATTATTTTATCATTTCAGTGACTCTCTCTGCCCCTGCCTTTAGCAAGACCTCCTTCAACCCCACAGCTGCTTTAATCCTTTTTTATCCAATCTGTAACCTATATATTATTGTGAAGAGTAATGTGTAACCTGAAAGTTAATATCAGTAATTAAGAGTGCAATAAAGGAACATGCTTGCCAATGGCTGATGTCTAGCTATCAAGTGATATCAGCAGTACTTCATGATACCAACAAAACTGGCATAGTTTGCGGATCTACTGTTCTTTAATAAATTCTGACACTGTGGAAGATACAAGTGTGTTCATCTATGTTTCTGACAGAGCTCGCTGATGACAATAACCCATTACCTTCATCTCTGGAGCCCCAAAGGGCCCTGGACAGTTCCTCATACAAAAAAGGCAAGCAAATAATTACTGCCTACATAAATATCTGCAGTGGAAGTAGTTGATTTTACCCTTACATAGAGAGGGAGAAAATATGAACTGGCTAGCCATCCTAATCCCCCATTTATAATTCTTGGTTCAGTAGAGAACCCTAAAAATTGGGAATGACAAACAGGTTCCATGTCACAGATTACTAGATAAAGCATTCCAGTGAGCTGTGCTAAGATGGGTCCAAGAGTTTGTGTCTGTGCTCAGTTGGAATGAGGGCTGTGATCAACTGGTGATGTCTGCCAAGGCGAAGAAAGAAAAGAACACGCAGAGTATGAGTAAGTAAGTAGAAAGAAACAAGTAAAATCAAAAGTGTACACTCACATTTTCACAATCTTTCTTTAAAGGAAGTTATATGTGAATGTACAGAGAGGCTCCTTGCAATCGAATACTGACAGGGCTTCCAAGGAACTATTAATTACTATAGGCATTTTTTTTAAAGTGTTCTAA